GTGTATGATGAGTGGTGTATGATGAGTGGTGTATGATGAGTGGTGTATGATGAATGGTGTATGATGAGTGGTGTACGATGAGTGGTGTATGATGAGTGTTGTATGATGAGTGGTGTATGATGAGTGATGTATAGTGGTGTATGATGCGTGGTGTATGATGAGTGGTGTATGATGAGTAATGTAAATTTTTGTAACACGGAAGTTCCTTCTAAACTTCCTTTGACCATAGAAGGTTCCATGGCAGGCATTGATCTTAGCCCTCGTATAGTCCGTACCAATGTGTCAAAGATAAGAAAGGATTTTTATCCGATAGAAGATGTTGACATCCGTCGAGATGCTTCAGGCACTCTGATGACTGCAGACGCTGAACAGGTTTCACCCCCTGGCCATTCTTTTCTCGAATTCCACTGGCAACCAGTTAGCAAAGGCAAGATCGATTTCCTAGAGCTATTCAGTGGTTCAGCTAGACTCAGCCACGCAGCCGCTCTAGTGGGACTCAGAGTAGGACCGCCAATTGATCTGCGGACTGGGTTCGATATCCTAACTTCCGAAGGAAGAGAAAGAACCATGAGCGTGATAAACACTCAGCGTCCTGAAGTCATTTTTATGGCACCACATTGCGCACCATGGTCACAGATGAGCAATATCAATGATAGAGCAACTCGTGAAGGGAAGCGCAAACGCTACTATCCAATGCTAGAGTTTTGCGCGCAGGTTGCTGTTTATCAAATTGCCCATCGCAGGAAGTTCATTATTGAGAATCCTGCTGGATCCATGTTATGGTGGACTAAGTCTTTCAACAACTTGCTATCCAAACAAAGCGTCAAGTGGTCCACACTGCACATGTGTGCTTTCGGAACGCGCGATCCTAGTGGATATTACTATTACAAGCCAACTAGTCTGATGCATAGCTTTGCAGAAGGTGTGCTGGATCCCGTTTTTAAGGTTTGTCCACTGAAGAAGGCAAGAGCCTCGGGGGTGAACCGTACTAACGGTAACCGCAAACACCAGATGCTTGAAGGAAATGCAGCTGGCTACGGACCTCGCACAAAGCTCGCGCAAGTATATCCTTATGCATTTTGTCACGCTATAATTCGTTGCATTCTTCCATTAGGAAATTGCAATTGTTTGCCAACTGCTGAATCATTTTTTCTTGAAGACATAACAGACAATATTGTATCACACGATGAACTGAAGTCACTTGTCTTGCTTGGTCAAGATGATTTTGAATTCACGCTCTTCTCAGATGAGAAAGCTTTTTCAGTGCATGTTGCGCACAGAACCGCACTACCGGTTACGCATTTGTTTGCTGACCCCGCAATAGCCGTAAGCAATCATGAGATAAGAGAAGCTATGAATCATCTTACTCGTGCGCCAAACGGTACTGAAACGTTGCCGGGTAGCGAATCCTTCGTCAGTTCTTTGTTCCGACACTTAGGTTTCAATATGCTTCTGTGTGAAAGGTACAAATTTGGTCATCTCAGCACCATGTACAAGAACAAGCCTGGTGTAGTTCTTGTGTGGAACAAGAACAATTTCTCCAAGGTCCATGTAATGGATCATCAACGTGTAGCTTTGGACAAGCTCAATCCACAGCACTGGACGACAGTATTTTACTGGAATGACAGTGGCAAGATGCCTCCACGACCACAGGCGCCAGCAGACAATCCAGTGGCAATGATGGACCTCAGTGATCCACCAGGACAACCTCCACATCCTGGTCTCGGATCCGAATGAAGATGCTGATATGGATGATCAGATGAATGATGCACCGGGCCCGGGTGAGGATGATATCGACATGCCAGCATTGGAACCTATTCAACCTACACCTCCTGCACCTCCAACGCCACCTGGACCAGCACCAACTGTTCCACACACTGGTCCACAGATATTTGACATATCAACACCACCGGCATCAGACCATGAGATGCCCAGCACTCCACCGCCTCATCCACTGACAACACCTTTTGTGTCACCGCAGTGGGAAGAAGCTGCGAATCACACTTACGATGAGTGCTCTGTGGAGCTGGCTTTAAGAGATGCGCGGTGAGCATTAGCACGTTAGGTTACTGCGTTAGCCAATGAATACTTAGCCCTTGGCTTGAAGGAACCGCAAGAATGCATAGTCAGTCAAACAGAATGTTTCAACAAGCTTGAAATGAATCGAATTGAATTGATAAATTGGCAGGTACGCCAGGATGGCCAATCCTGGTATCCCGTGTTCAGACTAGCTTCGTTGGGCGTAGTCATCTGAACACGCTACGCCCCCCTGCTGCTGGAATCTGTACAGGAAGACAGTGGGATAGAATAGAGTAGAGTAGTGCCCCTCGAAACGGGGTTTGACACACGCGCACTTATAGACATGCGTACTGACTTGAAAGCGGTCGCCACACGCCGGCCTGAGTTAAAAAACTTGAAATACCAGGAGGGCAAGTAGTAAGTTAAAGGCCATCGCTTTCAGGTTGGAGGCCATCGGAAGGATGTTGGAGGCCAACACGTAAGGTTGGAGGCCGTCGCTAGTAGGTGGTAGGTAGTATGCGCAAGCCAAAAAAGTGACAAGTAGTAAGTTAAAGGCCATCGTTTTTGGTGTTAAGGCCATCGCAAGGAAGTTGGGGCCAACGCCTAAGGTTGGAGGCCGTCGCTAGTAGGTGGTAGGTAGTATGCGCAAGGAAAACAAAAGTGACAAGTAGTAAGTTAAAGGCCATCGTTTTAAGGTTGGAGGCCATTGCAAGGAAGTTGGAGGCCAACGCCTAAGGTTGGAGGCCGTTGCTAGTGGGTGGTAGATAGTATGCACAAGCAAAACAAGAGTGACAAGTAGTAAGTTAAGGCCATCGCTTTTAGGTTGGAGGCCATCGCAAGGAAGTTGGAGGCCAACGCCGAAGGTTGGAGGCCGTCGCTAAGTAGGTGGTAGGTAGTATGCACAAGCAAAACAAAAGTGACAGCGAGCAGAAAGGTTGGAGGTTGTCGCTAGTGGGTTGGAGGCCATAGTACCAGGTTGGAGGCCAGCGCTACAAGTTCAAAACAACAAGCAGGTACACATCAAGGCGTCCCTTGACGCTTCCCCTGTCACATCCCAGCTTCGTTGGGCCAGGTAGGATGTGACAGGCCTGGCCCCCCTGCTTAACACACGACCCCCCGAGGGGAGGCGAGAAGCGCTAAGGTCAGGGCAAAGGTGTAAGTGCGCGCGCAACAAGACAAAAGAATGAAGACATGGGGACCAGACGGGACAAAGGTGTGTGCGGTTGCGATGAAAGGGAACCAAGCGCACAGGGACAACCAATGAAAACCCGCCTAATTATAAAGACCTGGGCAACCTGAAACCTAGGTTGAAGTAGGTTGTGCACGTACACACGAAGGCCGGGACTCATGTGCGTGCCAACGAAAGAAAGGATGAGATGACCAGACATGAAGACAGGAGGACATGAAAGAAAAGAAGTGTAAAGGGTGAAAAGGATGAAAAGGGAACCGATGAAGCCACACCTCATTAGAGAACCTATGCAAAGCTGGTTGAAAATGTGCACCTGAGGTGGCGACGGGTCGCAATGGACCCAAAAAATGCTTCGGCCGGTGTGGCCACGTACGCCGTGCCAAAATGGCTGGCAGCTTTGACCGTTCCGGTCACCTAATGGCTTGCTCGAAAGCTGCCTACTTGTATTCAATAAATCAGCAAGTCTTGGCAAATAACTTTGGCACAAGCCTACCCCGCCCGCTGTGGGCACACGCGTTTCCAAAGCAAGGGAAACAGCGACAAACCCCCGTTCGACGGGTCCACAGGGGCCACTCCTCGGGGCACCCCGGGCTCTCACGAGGAGAGACACACTTATAGAAATGCATACTGACTTGAAAGCGGTTGCCACACGCCGGCCTGAGCCAAAAAACTTGAGATACCAGGAGGGCAAGTAGTAAGTTAAAGGCCATCGCTTTTAGGTTGGAGGCCATCGGAAGGATGTTGGAGGCCAACGCCTAAGGTTGGAGGCCGTCGCTAGTAGGTGGTAGGTAGTA